ACTTCCCTATTCCCAAAATTACAACTCGGAAAATAAACAAACTCTAGTATAAGAACATTAAGAGCACTCTAATGAACTTGTGTGGAATTGACACTTGACTCGATTTGAAGCTTGAAAACTTATGTGAGCAAGGGTGAGTTTTTCCATCTAAAATTAACATCTATTTATAGACCAAAATTCGTTTAGGAAAAACTTTTTTGTGCAGCAAATCCACAACGCCACTACTCCAACCCACTAAGAAGATCGTGATCCTAAAATTAAGGAAACATGAACTCCTCAATGTGCAAGACCATGACTTGAAGAAAATCACGGAGGAGTAGGCCGCAAGTTTTTAGAAAATGTGGGAGATTTTATTTGCAAAAGATATTTTTAGAAAATCAGAAATAAAATCTTTTTGCTTAAGAAAAAGGTAATAGTTAAAGACTTAAACACTTTCCTAAAAACTAGCCTACACAAATTTATCTTTTAAGACCAATTCCACACACATTTTTCGAGTGCAAATTAATATCTTATACTTACATAAATCCTAAAATATAAAAATATATTTAGTCTTCATGTTCTCTGATGAAGCTTCTACTCCGAGGCTTCTGTTCCTTGGGAGGAACTTCTCTTCTCTAATGAGGCTTCTTCTCTGAAGCTTCTGCTCCCTGAGGGAACCTTCTCTTCTCCAGTCTTCATTTCTGAAGCGCCAGTTCCTGAGAGGGAACTCTTCTATATGGCTAGCTCTGCTTCTGGCCTTCTTGTTCCTCATGGTATTTTTACAAGACACTTCATTCTTCTAGTCTTTGTAACTGAGTACACACTTAAACAATCAAGCACTTATTAGTTTGTAAGTAAGTGAGGTTGTGTCATCATCAAAATCATTAAGTCCAACAATATTCCCCCTTTTTGATGATGACAAACAAACCAAACTTACTAACAAGCAAACAGAGATAATCCATTTTATTCCTAAAGAAAGGAAATGCAAAAACAAAATACAATGCAAAATGGAAACTAATGGTAAGGAAATAAAAACAATGCATAAATAAATAACTTAAGTAAAAACTGAAAAACTTGTATATACATTATACCTGCTTGTAGAGATTAGGCAGCTTGTGAAGATTTCAAACAGAGACCATAGAATGATTAAATTTCCTTGATAGTTTGCATCCTTTTCCCCCTTTTGGCATTATCAAAAACTAACATACAAGCATATAGTATACCATAGCACAACACCATCTAGTGGTTTAGTGTTAAGACAAGAAGCATGCATAGAGAGAAAATATTCACAAAGCATATAGGCAAAAGAAACATAGATTATAATCATCCAAAACCGATTTAAAACATCGGCCAAAAATGTACCAAATTTGCAAGTTTGACAAAATAAATTAAAAAGTGCCCAAAATATTACAAACCGAAATAAAAATTGTTCCCAAAAGCAGATAAAATATAAGTTTCATCAACATAAAAAGGCTGCAGAGAAAGGTAGGTTAAGAAGCAATGCTCTGGTCATCATCAGCAGCAAGATCCTCCAGCTTCTTGCTGATTTGAGACACTATGTCTTTCACAATGGACGGTCTCCCCTGTTCTGAGCTCTTGACCAGTTCCTTCACATTAGCATCTAGAGTGAGCACACTCTTCTCCAGTTCCTCCATCTTCACCTTTGAATCCTCTTGTTCCTTCAACACCTTCAGGAGCATATCCTTCATCTCCTTGACATCCTCGCTGGGAACCTTAGGTGAGGAACTGAATGCTGCAAAACCTGTACCTGTAGATGCATACTTGCCCGAAATAGGAGAGCTTGTGACTTTCTGCAAATCCTCTTACGCCCCTGAGATATCAATGCAGATGGGAGCAGAGGTCTCCTTTTTCTTCATCAACCTCAAGCTCTTCATTTTCTTCCTTCCCCCTGTCTCAGTCACTTCCTCAACCACCTTTTCCTCTTCCTCCTCCTGAACGTCCTGTACCATACCCTCTATTATGACAGTAGCTCTCTCTTCTTCCCCCTCATCTATGTCACCTACTTCCTTTGGCCTTTTATCCTTTTCCTCCAGCACAACCTCAAAACATCCATCTACAACCTTCATCTTATGGTTTTCAAGGAAAATAGGCTGCATTTACTCGGTGTTTTTGAGGGGTAGGGGCTCTTTATCAGCAAAGGAGATACCAAAGCTTTTAAAAACATAGGTAAGTAGGTTACCATATCCCACCTTCCATCCTTTTGGAACACAGTGAGAAAGGTGTTGGATTATGATGGAAGGAAAGTTAATTTGGATCTTTTTGGCTAGGAAATAGTTGAGAACAGAGTCAAGCTTGTTGGCACTGTCTCTCTTTTGGGTGTGAGGGATAATATCATTGAAAACAAATTTTAATCAACAGAATTCTGTCAAGAGGGGTTAGGTCATTGTGATTTATGTAGGTTTCCTCCGGGTCTCCACCTAGAAACTCTACTATCTCATCAATATTTGCATCGGGAAGAGGGTTCCTTATCAAATTATTTTTGAAATAAATATCATAACCAGTATTAGGCACATCAAACAACTCAGCCAAATACATAGCATCAAACTCAATATCCTTCTTAAGCACACAACAATGAATTACACCTTTAGAGTACTTAAAGCTTTTACAGAAATCCTTCATAGCATCAAAATACAAACTCCGATTGAAACATTCACCCAACAAATTCACCCAATTTTGAGCCTCAAACAAATCTAGCAATTCATAAAGCTTAACAGATCTACACCAAGGTAAATTAAGTGCCAAACCTGTCACAAAGTGGTCACTGATCTTCTCCAGCCTTTTCATGGAAGCAGGCTCGTCTCGATAGTTGACACCCATCTCCGGAATGTTCTCGATTTCTTCTTGCATGTCTTCAGCTTTCCTTTTGCGAGAAGTGCTTGAATCAGTGGGAGATTCATGCTTGGAGGCTTCAGGATTTTGTGTTTCCGGGATGATTTCCATGGTGATTTCTTGGGTAGGGTTTGTATTTGTTTCGGCTTCAATTAGGGTTTTTGGAGAGGTAGACATTGGAGAGTAATTTTGATCGGAGAGATGAGAGAGAAGGTAATTTTTGTGTGGTGTAAATTTTGGTGAGTCTGACATCTTTTATGGTGGAGGTAAATTGGTGAAGTGAGGTGTCGTTTGGGAGGTGAAGTGAATTTAGCTGATTTGACACTCATATTTATTGCTTAGGGAAACGCAAACCATGTTTCAAGAGAGTAGTGTAAGTGGGCTACTTTTTGAACAAAAGATAATGATGAAATTAGATGCATTCATCCGATTATTTGTGTTTAGATAAAAAGAATTTGGAATTTTGAAAGATAGATAAACACAACAATTTGATACACGGAACAAATCAACAAGGCTCATGCAACCAATTTTGGACTTTTCATATTCTATGACTTTCAAGTTTACATGCCTTTAGTAAATATTAGTCCTGCTCACAACTTGCCTTAACTATGTAATTAAACGTATAACACTTGTGCACAGTATACAACAGATTAAGCATGTCAGTTTGAGCTTCATACCTGACGGAACTTGATGCATTTTTCTTAGTATAACTTAATCATCCCAAGTTCCATTCTCATCTTCTTATGCCTTTCTCTATTCAAGGGTTTAGTCAATATGTCTGCAATTTGATTGTCAGTTTAGCAAAAATCTAATTTAATTAAACCCTTTTCAACATTATCCTTAAGGAAATGATGCCTTATATGAATATGCTTAACTCTTGAATGATGGACTGGATCTTTAGATATGCAAATTGTACTAGTGTTATCACAGTAAATAGTAATGCAATTAAATTTAATACCAAAGTCACGTAACTTTTGTTTAATCCAGAGGACTTGAGAGCAACAAGCAGCTGCTGCTACATACTCAGCCTCTGCAATAGACAATGCAACAGTATTTTGTTTCTTGGAACCCCAAGAAACTAGACAAGAGCCAAGGAACTGAACCATACCTGAGGTGCTTTTCCTATTGACTAGGTCACCTACATAGTCAGCATCTGTGAATCCTCTAAGCATAAAGTCATCACTTCTAGGATAGAACAGACACAGGTCATCTGTTCCTTTGAGGTATCTCAAAATTCTCTTAACAGCTGTTAGATGTGATTCTTTAGGGTTAGACTGAAATCTAGCACACAATCCAACACTAAAAGAAATGTCAGGCCTACTGGCTGTTAGATATAGCAATGAACCAATCATACCTCTGTAAGTGGTTTGATCCACACTTGTTCCTTGTGGATCCTCATCAAGTCTTGTTGCTATTCCTATAGGTGTATGATTTGTCTTGGCATTCTCCATGTTGTACTTCTTCAGAAGTTCCTTGACATACTTCTGTTGGTGAATCATTATTCCTTCAGCTGTTTGCTTTATTTGAAGTCCAAGGATGAAATTCAATTCACCCATCATGCTCATCTCAAATTCACCACCCATTAGCTCAGCAAAGTACTTGCACAAACCATTGTTAGTAGCACCAAATATAATATCATCTACATAGATCTGTACAACTAACAAATCAGTTCCTCGAGATTTAAGAAAAAGAGTCTTGTCTACTTTTCCTCTTTTGAAATCATTTTTCAGTAGGAACTTTGAAAGCCTTTCATACCAGGCTCTTGGAGCTTGTTTGAGCCCGTAGAGAGCTATATCAAGCTTAAAAACATGATTTGGAAATTTAGGATTTTTGAAACCTAGAGGTTGTTCAACAAACACCTCCTCATATAAGAAACCATTTAGAAAAGCACATTTCACATCCGTTTGATAGAGTTTGAAACCCATAAAAGAAGCAAAAGCCACTAGGATTCTAATAGCTTCTAGTCTAACTACATGAGCAAAGGTTTCATCGAAATCAATACCTTCCTATTGGTTATAGCCCTTCACAACCAATCTAGCCTTGTTCCTTACTATGGTTCCATGTTCATCAAGTTTGTTCCTGAACACCCATTTGAGCCCAATTACTTTCTTTCCCTTAGGCTTTGGCTCAAGGTGCCAGACTTTGTTCCTTTCGAACTCATTGAGTTCCTCTTACGTGGCCACTATCCAATCAGCATCTCCTAAGGCTTCTTGATGATTTCTTGGCTCTAGAATGGACAGAAATGCATGGAATGCGTTGTAGTTCCTCATTTGTGATCTTGTTTGAGTTCCTTTTCCTATATCACTGATAATTAGATCAGTTGGGTGGGAGCCTTGATACTTGAATGGCCTGGGTTGAAATTCCCTTGCTGGAACTCCAATTTGAGGAGCTTCTGGTTCCGTTCCTTCTGCTTCTTCTGCTTGTTCCTCATTCACCTGTTCATCTGGTTGAGGAACCTCTACATTTTCTTGATGTTCCTCTTCTGGAGCAGGCTGCTTTTCTTTGGTTTGCTTTTGAGTCTCTTCTTCATCCCTGTCTCTTATCAATCCAATTTCAAAATCATTATCATCTTCTAGTTCCTGCACACTCAAAAATTGGTTAACTTCATCAAAGATTATATGAATGCTTTCCTCAACACACATTGAGCTTTTATTATAAACTTTATAAGCTTTTCTATCAGAGGCATATCCTAGAAATATAGCCTCTTCACGTCTTTCATCAAATTTCCCTAGGTTTTTCTTACCATTATTATGTACAAAGCACTTACAACCAAAGGCTCTAAGATGAGATATGTTTGGCTTCCTTCCCCTGAATAGTTCATAGGGAGTCTTGTTGATGATACTTCTAATTGTTACCCGGTTAAGGATGTAACATGTTGCATTCACGGCTTTAGCCCAGAAGTTCCTTGGCAATCCACTTGTAATTAGCATCGTTCTAGCCATTTCCTCAAGGGTTTGATTCTTCCTTTCTACAACTCCATTCTGTTGGGGAGTCCTTGGAGCTGAGAAATTATTATTCATGCCATTTTCCCTGCAAAACTCATCGAATCTTGAGTTCTCAAATTCAGTTCCGTGATCTGATCTGAGATGGACTATGGAGTGACCACTGATTTTCTGTATTTTCTTGGTAAAAGCAACAAACTCGTTAAAAGTTTCATCTTTACTAGAAAGAAAAATAACCCAAGTGAATCTAGAATAATCATCAACAATAACCAAAACATATTTCTTGCCACTCCTACTTTGAATTCTCATGGGATCACACAAATCCATATGGATTAATTCCAAAGGCTTTATAGTGCTTACCATTTTCTTCAATTTAAAAGATGAGCGAACATGCTTGCCTTTCACACATGCATCACAAACTTTGTTCTGTAGGAACTTGATAGTAGGAAGTCCCACAACCAAGTTCCTTGACCTCAGCTTGTCCAGTAATGAAAAGCTAGCATGTCCAAAACGTTTATGCCATAGCAGGGGATCATCTTCAACAACACTCAGACATGTAAGGTTGTTCCTTGGGATTAAGTTGAGGTCAACTGTATAAGTGTTCCCTCTTCTTGTTCCTTCTAGAACAACCTTTCCTGACTTTTTTTTGATGATGTTGCAAGAGTCAGAAGTAAAACTTACAGAATTTCCTTTATCACAGAATTGTGATATACTAAGCAAATTGTGCATTAAGCCCTCGACCAGGAACACATTATCAATGGAATGAGATTTTGATCTACCAATTTTGCCTTTTCCAATGATCTTGCCCTTCTTATTATCCCCAAAGGTTACTGTTCCTCCAGGGTAGTCTTCTAGTGAGAGTAATTTTGATTTATCACCTGTCATATGCTTTGAACAACCGTTGTCGAGATACCACGAGTTGTTCCCCCTCACTAGGACCTGCAAGAAAACTAAGCATTAGGATCAGGAACCCAGGTTTCCCAGGGTTCCTTAAACGTGGATGCAATATCAGTTTTCTTGACACACACTTGTTTTACATTTCTTTTATCACCTTCTTCTCTTATCCTACACTGTCCATAGAGATGTCCATACTTTTACCACAAAAAGTGCATACCTTAATGCTAGGAAGCTCAATATATTTCTTTTGCTTACCTTTCCTCTTGGTCATATAACCAAGGCCTTCAATTCTTTTACCTTGAGCTTCAGCTATCCACTTAGGTATGACTTTTGGGTCAATACTTTTATCCTTTCTAGAATTCAGTTCCGATTCAAGTTGATCTTTTTTAGTTTTTAAGGTAGAAAGCTCATTTTTCAAATTTTCAAAATCAACATTGAATTTAAGCAACTGATCACTTAAGGAACTGCTAGAACTGATATCAGAATTTATGAGCTTATACTGAGTTAATTCAACATTCAGAAGAATACTTTTATTCTTAATTCTATCAGCTATCTCAGTTATGTGTTTGTATTTAAAATCAAGCTCTCTTAATTTGCTTTGAGACTTGGCATAGGCTGTTTCCAACCAAGCACCATGTTCTTTGCAAACCTTAAGAGCTTTTTCACATTTGTTCAACTTCACACATGTATCTCTAAAGAATTCTTCTTCTTCTAGACACATATCTATCAAGACATCTTTAGAGAGAGTTTTAAGCTGTTTAGGATCAAGAAATACCTCTTTCTGGAGTTCCTCAAGGTAAGCCTTTTCATCATTTGATTTGGCCATCAAACAAAGATTGGCCGTCACCTCTTCTGGTTGGTCATCATCTTCTTCTTCACTTTTTGAGTCTCCCCAAGCTGCTATCATGGCCTTCCTCATGTCTGACTTTTGATAGTTTGCTTTTCTGAATTTTTCTCTTCCCTGTTCCTTAGCCTTTCCTTTCCCTTTATCATTTTCCCAAAGGGGGCAGTCTCTGATAAAGTGATATGGGGATCCACACTTGTGGCAGCTGTAGTCAGGCTTTGGATTTGAGGTCTATTTCCCGAAGATCCTTGAGGTTCGGCCTTTCTTGAACATCTTTTTGAATCTTCGCACAATTACGGCAGCCTCATCCTCGTCCACTTCTGAGTCTTCCTCCTCATCAGCCTTAAGAGCCAATCCCTTGTTCCTCATGGGTTCATTGTTGACTCCAAGGTGTAGCTCATGGGTCATGAGAGAACCTGCTAGTTGTTCAATATTGAACTTTGTAAAGTCCTTTGTTTCCTGAAGGGCTGTCACCTTAGCTCTCCATCTCTCATCTTGTGGAAGACTTCTAAGAACCTTCCTAACCTGCTCATCTGTAGGAATCTGTCTACCAAGGGAAACCAACTCATTTATGATGTTTGTAAATCGGGTTAGCATCTCTTGAATGGTTTTCTTAGGCTGCATTTCAAATATTTCATACTTAGACATAAGTAGATCGATTTTAAAGCGTTTAACCTCATTAGTTCCTTCATGAGTAATCTGCAGAAAATCCCAGATTTCCTTAGCGTTCTTGTACCCCATAACACGATTGTGTTCGTGAGGTCCAAGTCCACAATGGAGCAATTTCACAACCATAGCATTTATTTCCATTTTATCAAAGTCCTCTTTTTCATATTCAGACATAGGCTTAGGGATTACCTCATTCTGAGCATTAGTTTTGGTGACTTCGAAATCACCAACCTCGATGACCCTCAAGACTTGGTAGTTCTCTGCCTTGATAAAGATCTCCATGCGGTTCTTCCAGTAGGTATAGAACTTGTCGTTGAACATAGGAGGCCTCTGAGTTGAGTATCCTTCCTCGAGATTTTCATGAGTATTCATTTTCTCCAAGACCTTTCTTCTTCAGGGTTTCCTGATTTTCCTAGAAATTAGGCTCTGATACCAATTGTTGTTCTAAATAATACTACAAGAAGGGGGGGTTGAATTGTAGTATGAGAGATTAGCCAAACTTTTTGCGGAATTAAAATTAAGTTAGCTAAAGGAACTGAAAGATTAACTAAAGGAACTAAAGAATGCAAGAGAGATTTTACGTGGAAAACTCCTTGGCCCTAACAAGGAGAAAACCACGACCACTTGGGATTTTGGGAAAAGAATCTTCACTATGATAGGGCAAAATGATCCTATTACAAGCTAACGACTCAAACTCAAGTTCCTCTATGAACTTGAGACCCTGAGGAACAAGTCACCCAACTTGTTACTCTTCTCTTCTCTTTCTCTCTTCTCACTTCTCTGTTCTTTCTTTTCTTTCTCTTCTCTTTCACTTCTCTTTCTCACTTCTCTTTCTCATACACAAACGTTCACTCAAACTTCCCTATTCCCCAAATTACAACTCGGAAAATAAACAAACTCTAGTATAAGAACATTAAGAGCACTCTAATGAACTTGTGTGGAATTGACACTTGACTCGATTTGAAGCTTGAAAACTTATGTGAGCAAGGGTGAGTTTTTCCATCTAAAATCAACATCTATTTATAGACCAAAATTCGTTTAGGAAAAACTTTTTTGTGCAGCAAATCCACAACGCCACTACTCCAACCCACTAAGAAGATCGTGATCCTAAAATTAAGGAAACATGAACTCCTCAATGTGCAAGACCATGACTTGAAGAAAATCATGGAGGAGTAGGCCGCAAGTTTTTAGAAAACGTGGGAGATTTTATTTGCAGAAGATATTTTTAGAAAATCAGAAATAAAATCTTTTTGCTTAAGAAAAAGATAATAGTTAAACACTTAAACACTTTCCTAAAAACTAGCCTACACAAATTTATCTTTTAAGACCAATTCCACACAGATTTTTCGAGTGCAAATTAATATCTTATACTTACATAAATCCTAAAATATAAAAATATATTTAGTCTTCATGTTCTCTGATGAAGCTTCTACTCCGAGGCTTTTGTTCCGTGGGAGGAACTTCTCTTCTCTAATGAGGCTTCTTCTCTGAAGCTTCTGTTCCTGAGGGAACCTTCTCTTCTCCAGTCTTCATTTCTGAAGCGCCAGTTCCTGAGAGGGAACTCTTCTATATGGCTAGCTCTGATTCTGGCCTTCTTGTTCCTCACGGTATTTTTACAAGACACTTCATTCTCCTAGTCTTTGTAACTGAGTACACACTTAAACAATCAAGCACTTATTAGTTTGTAAGTAAGTGAGGTTGTGTCATCATCAAAATCATTAAGTCCAACACTAAACAGTAAAAAACAAAGCTTTAGCCCTAACATGATACTAACATGCATATTAGGAAAGAAAATAGGAAGCATCACAGGAATCATAATTGATATAAGCAAATCACCCTAAACATGATACTAGGAACTTATTATTGTCACCCTAAACATCATACTAAGAAAAGCATCCTAACATGATACTAGGAATAACAACCTAGACATGATTTCTATATCATAATATCAATAAAGAAATTAAAGCACTTACTTGGATGTCTCGTATCTCTTTCTAATAACAAAATACACACGTTAGTAAATTCAAGGAAAATAATAATCAAACAATTAAATCAATTAATTGAAAGAGAGATTTGGGATCAAACCCTCAGAAATTAAACCTTTCACGTCTAGGACGAAGACAACTTCGAATTTGGCTAGGAGTGTCTAGTGCTAATGTATGAGGAATTGTGTTTGTAAAAAGGTAGGCTTAGAAAAGAGGGAGAGAGAGAGAATGAGCTTTAGCTAACAGAGAGAAGAATATTAGAGAGTTTTTGGTGAAGAGTTGATGATTTAAAACGGAGGTTTTAGGAGGCTATTTATAGAGAAAATCAGCCGAATATGATAAAAAAACGAATCATAGTTTCGAAAAGAATAAAGCACGACGCTGTTGCCAAATACGCGCCAATCGCCAGGCGCCAGAGCTGTCGCCAGGGGACAGACTTGTAATGCTGCGCTGCAATCTGTTTTTTCACGCATTTTCTTATTTTGATAAAATTTAAGCGTACGAGGGGGTAAAACTGTAATTTCCTTAAAACACTTCTTTTATTCCGATTAAAACTCTTAAAAGTCAATTTATCAATGCTAATTAAATTAGGATTCTAAAGAGCTTTCTAGAGGATTCTAAAATACTATAATCAATCCTAATCACATTAGGAATAGGGATGGCAGTGGGTCGGGTTAAATGGGAGATCTGACCCTTCCCCGCCCAAGTGGGGCGGGGATGGAGGGAGGTTTGGCGGGTGATGGGGCGGGGATGGGTATAAAATGTGTACCCCCATGGGTGGTGGGGTGGGTATGGATTTTAGAGTAGATCCGCCCCATATTCACCCCGCCCCGTACCCACCTTATACCCGCACCATATTTCTTTTAGAAGAGTTGAGAATTTATGAAACTTGATACCCCCTAAGACCCAAAAAGCTTGAATAGTGAAAGTCCCAATTTTCTTAACCTAATTTGATATAATTGTCATTAATGTGATACAATAGAGCATCATGGCAAAGGGTTTGGGACGATTTTGGGGCGGGTATGAGGTGGGTATGAATATCCAAGTGGGTGTTGGGCCGGGGATGGATCCTATCTTTACCAAGTGGGGCGGGTATGGATGTGGATATTGTACCCACCACAAGTGGTGGGGCGGGGATGGGTATAAGATTTTTAGGCGGGTATGGATATGAAGGTACCATCATCAGCATCCGACCCGCCCCATTGCCATCCCTAATTAGGAATGATTAATCATAATAGGCCATCCTCTAGATCATTGGGCCGCATAAAAAGATCAAACCGGACCCAGTTTAGTAATTTGGCCATAACTTCCTCATTATTCATCAGAATTGGGCTTAATATATCGTTGGAAAGCTCTTTTCAAACCCGACCCAACTACAATATTATTGGAACCTTGCCATGGACCTAACCAAACTGGATTGACTATTTTCTTAAAATGGGTTTTCAAAAACGAAGAGAAAGAAAAGAATTAAAAACTAACCGCAACACTAGACTTTCCACACTTTCACTTCATTCGATTATTATGATTCGACGTGAAAGGTACTCATCACTGGGTTTGGTTTTAGGGAGACACAAATGGGTGTCTACAATAGTTCTGAGGGTTAAGTCCCAAATCTAATTTCAACTATTGTTATAATTGTTTGATTTAATATTTCATTGAAGTTACTAACGTGTGTATTGTTTTGATAGAAAGAGGTATGAGGCTTGAAAGTGAGTTTTTCAATTGCTCTATTTCTGTAGAAATTATGCTTAGATTGCTTTTATAGCTTTCTAGCATTATGTTAGGGATAAAGTTTGATTTTTATTGCTTAGTGACATACTAGGATTTGTTACTAATCATGTTAGTATCATTCCTAAGATCTTGCTAATAATATTATGCTTTGATGATCGAGATTGGGATTGTTATAATGATGATTTGTTGTATCAATATTATTATGTTGCTTGATATATTATTGTTATTGCTTGATCGCGCCCTCTCTTAAAGGGGATTTGTATTTAAAATTACGCTTAATAAGATAATTAATAATTTGGTTTAGACTAATGTGATTTTAATTCAAGTGATCGCCAATAATAGATTTGTTTGTGCATTAATAATCAACAACGTAGATTAAACAGGTTTAGGATTAATATATTGATTTTATGTCAATTGGAAAGCGCACATGAATATGACAAAAACAAAGTAGACGCCTATTTAGGATAAATCCAATCTCTTTTAAGTTGGATTTGTACCTTCATCCCCCAAATATTCAGTCATGGTTCAGGACCACTATGAAGTTAGTGACCTCTGTGATCGTGAATGGTTTACAAGTTCCTACAACTTGTTGACAACTCTTTTGCTCTAATTTCCTTCCCTTTGAACATCGTCATGCTTAAGTGCATGATCACAGTGGGGCTCAAGTTTGAGATGCGTGAAATATTCTCT